CGTCCCTAGTATGAACTCGGTTACCAACAATTTCAAAACATGCATGTTCCGAGTTCAAAACCAACCTTCACCGACACTACTATGAACTCGGCCCCTAACACTTCCAAAACATGCCTGTACTAACTTTGAAACCACCATCGGTGAAAACTTCACCGACCTTAGTATGGACTCTACACCTACCGATTCCAAAACATGCATGTTCCGAGTTCAAAACCAACCTTCACCGACACTAGTATGAACTCGGCTACCAACAATTCCAAAAACATGCATGTTCCGAGTTCAAAACCAACCTTCACCGACACTAGTATGAACTCGGCTACCAACAATTCCCAAACATGCATGTAACAACTTTCCAACCTGCCTCAGTGCTAACAAAATTCCCCGACCCTAGTATGAACTCGACTGCCATCAATTCCTAAACATCCATGTACCAACTTTGTAACCTACCTCGGTGAAAACTTCACCGACCTTAGTTTAACTCTACCTTACAATTCCAATGATGCATATACGAACTTTGTAACCTGCCTCGGTGAAAACACCCCCGTCCCTAGTCTGAACTCGGTTACCAACAATTTCAAAACATGCATGCTCCGAGTTCAAAACCAACCTTCACCGACACTAGTATGAACTCGGCTACCAACAATTCCTAAACATGCATGTACCAACTTTGCAACCTGCCTCGGTGTTAACAAAAACTCCCCTGACCCTAGTATGAACTCGGTTACCAACAATTTCAAAACATACATGTTCCGAGATCAAAACCAACCTTCACCGACACTAGTATGAACTCGGCTACCATCAATTCCTAAACATGCATGTGCCAACTTTGCAACCTGGCTCAGTGTTAGCAAAACTCCCCGACCCTAGTATGGACTCTACACCTACCGATTCCAAAACATGTATGTTCCGAGTTCAAAACCAACCTCGGTGAAAACTTCACCGACCTTAGTTTAACTCTCCCTAACAATTCCAAAACATGCATGGTCTAGATTCGAACCCTGCCTCGGTGAAAACGTCACCGACTCGTGTATAAAATCTGTCCCAACCAACTCCAAACCTTCCCTGGGCACCCGAATAAAAATAACTCACCCAGCCCCTTAATCAATAAAAATTATTGATTTGTACTTTAGAGTGATTAGATTGAATGATATGTATGCTAACGTCATATCATATTTAGTTTTTACGTCATTATTTTGGTGAACTTTAAATGTAGACATTTTAAACGGTGTGTCATTTGACACGACGTACTATAACGTTGTTGTTTTTTAAAACTTGAAGTTTATAATCTTAAGCAAATTTTTACTAAGGTGATCAAAAATTAAGATGACAATGTAAGATATAGAAAAAGAAAATACATTGAGTGGTAAAAATAAAAAATTGTCCTTAGACGTAATGTATTGATTTTTAAAACTTGAAGTTTATAATCTTAAGCAAATTTACCACCACCTTACCACCACCTTACCACCACCTTACCACCTTACCACCACCTAAGGTGATCAAAAAATTAAGATGACAATGTAAGATATAGAAAAAGAAAATACATTGAGTGGAAAAAAATAAAAAATTGTCATTAGACGTAATGAATTATGTATAAGTAAACTTTCTTAAAAATTAAAGAAGTTCAAGTCAAAAAGAAGCTTGATGAAAACTGTAATACTAAAGCGAACATGGGAAGGTAATCTGCTGCAAGATTAAAATATATATTTTGTTAACCCTTGTCTTCCTAAATTATTTTTTAACTTTTTAAAGAAATTGACTGTTTAGTTAAGGATTCTGACGCGAATTTTTTCACAAGGGACGATACTCGTGTCTGTAGACAAGGCTGTTCTAATTTTAGAACAGTTGTCTTTCCTCTCGTTTCTCTATTAGGGAAGCCGTAAGGGGAAGACACGCGACACGTCTTTTAAAATGTAAACAAGCGTGCACGGGGTGCACTTAAAATAAACCCCGCTGCGACAATTGTTAAATTTATCTGGCTCAGTGTGGTCAAATGGTAGTCAGATCAAAAGAAAATCGGAACGGTCATAAAAAAACTTAATTACTTTTCCAGACTTGTAAAAAACATGTCTACCCACGTATACCTACGTACCAACGCACCAAGTCGCCCTGTCGCCCATTAAAAAACACGAACCTACCGAGACTTCGTTTCGTCTCAAAACCTGACTTAACGGTGGTTGAAAGAAAATTCCGACCCTTAAATATATTTTTGTTTTCGCTGACCCTCGCTATAAGCGAATAGTTACAACCATTAAGCTTTCATACATAGCAAGGGATGGTTCGCAGGACATGTGGAAACAAAATTTTTTAATTTGATCAAAGAATGTCCGGGCGTACGATATGTGAACATAGTTCATGTACAGCTGTAGTCTAATGAAAAAAGCCGAGAGCCGTGACTAATTACAGCACCAGCTGTCGCCACACTTAACGCGGAGAGGGACTTAATGGCTTCGATTAATTACCTGTTGTGATCGCTTCAGTGAGCCCGCTATTAAGCAACCACGGGGAGCGCCGGGGAGGATCACGGGCGGATCGATAAGTACAAGCTGTCACTAATAAGTAACAGCTGTGGTTAAATGGATGTTATACACAATGACACTTTCTAGTACACGCTAGTGTTAGTCTTTTATTTTAAACGGCGTACAACAAAGAAATTAAAAGCAAACTAATTAAAATGAATTTCAAACAAATAAATTATACAAAGTAATTAAATTAAACAACAAGTAAACAACAATTAAAAATAAAATTTAAAAATAATAATTTAAAAAATTTAAAAATTTAAAAAATTAAAATCGAATTACGTAACTCGTTAATAATAATTAAACTAATTATAAAATAAAATTAAAAATTTAAAAATTTAAAAAAAAAAAATTAAAATCAAATTACGTAACTCGTTAATAAAAATTACACATAGGTGGACCATCATACTGATGGTCAGTGGGTTCGATCAATATTAACTTGGCCCTTGTACGGTGGTTGACAAGAACAAAGGATCGCATGTGGATCGATACGTGTCGGGTGCCATTAGCGAGTAACAGGTGTCTCTAATGGATGTTTGTAGTCGACATAAACCCACGATGCATGACCAAAATTAATTAGGCGGACCATCATTTGATGGCCGTGTGTGGAATCAATATTAACATTAAAAATAAACAAAATAAAAATAATTAAAAAAGTAACGTTGTTGATTTTTAAAACTTGAAGTTTATAATCTTAAGCAAATTTACCACCACCACCACCACCACCACCACCACCACCCGCTTGGTAACATCTGTCGCCACACTTAACGCTGGTTTTGCGTTAATTATCATGACCCGTCAAATCGATCGGGGAAACTCGGTGAAGCATAACAAAATTTAATTAGGTGGGACATCATGCTGTGATGGGCCAGCGGCTGCGATCAATATAAAGCCCATTAAAAACCGCTCAGCGTGTGTCAACAAAGGATCGCGGATCGATACGTAACAGCTGTCGCCTGATCGTTATCTTTAATGGATGTTATTCACAAAGTACACGGCTAGTGTTAGTCTTTTATTTAAACATACATACATTCAAACAAACCAACAAATTAAACATCAAAGAAAAGAAATATATTAAATAAATAAATAAACAAAGTAATTAAAATCAAATTACGTAACTAGTTAATAATAATTTAACTAATTATAAAATAAAATAAAATTAAAAATAAACAAAATAAAAATAATTAAAATCACATTACGTAACTATTGAATAAAAATTACACAATATAAACAAATAAACAATAAGTAAACAAACAAAGTAAACAATTTAAAATCAAACAAATAATCAAATTACGTAACTAGTCAATAAAAATTCAAACATCAAAGTAATTAAATTACGTAACTCGATAATAAAAATTAATTAAAAATTTAAAAACTCCTTAAAAACGCATTAAAATTACGTAACTAGGTCAAAAATTAATTAAAATTTAAAAAACTCATTAAAAAACGCATTAAAATTACGTAACTAGGTCAATGATTACGTCATAATGTTACTAATTACGTCACAAGGTCACCGGTGGTGACCTACTGACCTACTCCCGCTCCTGCTCACCCACCCTAGGGTGGGTGAGTATTTTACTATATCTCATTGTACCTGCGGCTCACCCACCCTCACCCACCTGCTCACCCAGGTGGGTAAGTATTTTACTATATCTCATTGTTCCTGCGGGTCACCCAGGCTCACCCACCTTCACCCAGTTGGGTGAGTATTTTACTATATGTTGGTGTACCTCCTGCTCCCCCAGGGAGTATTTTACTATATCTCGTTGTTCCTGCGGCTGCGGCAGGCTGCGCCTGGTGGGTGAGTATTTTGCTATATGTCATTGTTCCTGCGGCTCACCCAGGCAGGGAGTATTTTCCTATATAACCATTGCTCCTGCTCCTGCTCCTGCTCCTGCTCCCCTCACCCTGCGCCTGCGCCTGCGACCCAAAAGGGACCTAATATACTACTAACAACAGCCATGCCGACAACCATGCCAACAACCATGCCAACAACCATGCCAATAGGGCTGGTAAGTAGGTCATCAACCTGTTCTACAGCTCAATAAAACCTGCATGAGCCATAAAATAGGTTGGTGACCTACTTACCAGCCTTATAGCCATGCCAAACACAGCCGGGCCCAAATTGACTGTCTCTCGACCTATCAGTTCACTATTAAGTTTGCGTGTCGTGTGTATCTGATTATATTTGTGACCGTGTGTGTGTGTGTGTGTGTCTATGTGTGTGACCTTGTGCGTGTGTGTGTGCGTGTCTGTGCGACTATGTGCTTGTGCGCCTATGTGCTTGTGCGTGATTGTGCGGCATACTGTGTTTCTAAAAATGGCGAAACGTTGAAAATACCTTGCACTTTCCAAATCCATATTTAGCAGTCTTCTATGATGAATTTTTTTTTTCTTAAGCGTGCAGATTTTAGCACAAGCGACGCCATATTTTTTTTCGACGATTAAAAACATTTTTACTTTATTTTTTTTTTCTATTTTCAGGGGAAAGGACCAGGGCATGCTGTGATCACGGCAATCACGGAGCAGGACGAAGAGCAGGACTTGTCAGAGGACGCAGATCTCAACCAGTAACACAATTACCTCCCCTTTCCTAGCCTCGCTTTCACAATCATCTACAATTATCTCCCCTATTTCGGATTCACTCTAACATCATCTAGAATTATCTCCCCTATAATAGCCTCATTTTTAACCCCTCATCTATTATATCGTTTCTCTCCGAATGGTTCCATGTTCGGGAAAACCCCCGGCAATCTATTTTAATATTCATCTGAGCGTAAATACCCTAAGAGCATAATTTATCAAGAGGCGTAGTTGAATTACATTTTTTTAAACGGCCTTATTTAGCTAAAGATACTTATTATTTGTAGCTTTTGCGTTGAAGTTAATGACGTCATTTTGTCCTGTTTCAGAAATAAATATCTGGACACAATGGATGACCATGACCCCACGGGCAAACAGCCCGAGGGGTACTACGATCACAACGGCGCCCCCATGTCGTGCGCCGAGCCACTGCTCAGCGGGGGGTACGTCTGGCCCCCCGTGGCCATCCAGTCCCCCTACTACTCCATGGCCATGATGGTCTACAAAGACCCGGCCTTGACCTACGGACCTTTCATCTCGGCGCCGGTTCCACTCGAATCCTGCAGCGCCGGACCTGCCGTCGCCACCGGCAGCGACTCTGTGCCAGGGGAGGCTGGCGCCCTCTGCTGCGGCGCCCCCCACGGCGACACGGCCGTCCTAGAGACGACGTCCACCACGCTGCACCAACAAAGTCGCAGCACCTCCCCCTCCAGCCCCGCCCCCACTGCCGACTCGGACTGTCTGAGGATTTTCCCTTCAGACTACCTATCCTCCTACCAGCGCACCCCCGGGGGGTCTACCAGCCCGGGGATCAGCAGCCTGCCCAACCCCACAGCGTTCATGATGATCCGGACTCTAGAGGTTCAGGAGACGATATGAGACATGACGTCAGGATGTGACATCATTCCGTGTACGGCATTATGACGACAGCATCTCCGCACGTCCATATTGGATCAGAACATTCCATAGCAAGGCTCCCACAAGCTGGGAATGTTCTAGCAATTTGCTGCCCGTCGAAGACCGGAAGTCTTGAAGCTCGATGCTGAGACAGCCAGTGAGATATGCACTTAGTCAGTGAGATATATACAGAGATAGTCACTGAGAAAGGTGTGCTCCTATAATCTGATGATACTGTACAGCGGTGATTATAGCAAGTGGTCACTGACAGAACATGACCTGGGATATACACACGGCCGCTAAGGGGTTAATGTTTGTATACAAAATTAATGCGCGGTTTTCTGTGTCAGACAATCGTCCATTCATTATTGTCAAAATTGTTACATTTTTTAACTTGTCATTTTTTTTTAAAATATGGCAAACTTGTTAAAATAAGAATTATGTCTAATTTGAAAGCTTTTCAAAGAATGAAAATTCTAACTAAAACATATCCACTTTGGGATACTTGTCCATTTAGTAACTTGTCAGACTTTGAATACTTGCCAAGATAGCGCTTGTTTTCTTAGGAGCACTTTTTAGTTTAGGAATACATTTTAAAGTATGAATACTAGTGTAAAAGGAATACTTGTCTAAAAGGAATATTTGTCTAAAAGAAATACTTGTGTAAAAGGAATATTTGTCTAAAAGGAATATTTGTCTAAAAGGAATATTTGTCTAAAAGAAATACTTGTGTAAAAGGAATATTTGTCTAAAAGGAATATTTGTCTAAAAGGAATATTTGTCTAAAAGGAATACTTGTCAGTCAGCTGAAGTTTTCACGGTAATGAATCGCTTTAATGCCGCTCGTATTAAGCCAAAACTAAGAAAGAAAAAGTTGGAATAAGACATTTCGATGACGTGTTGTTGCTTTAATGTTAACAAAAGCTTCCGTTTTGTTGCTTTAATGTTAACATAGCTTCCGTTTTGTTGCTTTAATGTTAACATAGCTTCCGTTTTGTTGCTTTAATGTTAACAAAGCTTCCGTTTTGTTGCTTTAATGTTAACAAAGCTTCCGTTTTGTTGCTTTAATGTTAACAAAGCTTCCGTTTTGTTGCTTTAATGTTAACAAAGCTTCCGTTTTGTTGCTTTAATGTTAACAAAGCTTCCGTTTTGTTGCTTTAATGTTAACAAAGCTTCCGTTTTGTTGCTTTAATGTTAACAAAGCTTCCGTTTTGTTGCTTTAATGTTAACAAAGCTTCTGTTTTGTTGCTTTAATGTTAACAAAGCTTCCGTTTTGTTGCTTTAATGTTAACAAAGCTTCCGTTTTGTTGCTTTAATGTTAACAAAGCTTCCGTTTTGTTGCTTTAATGTTAACAAAGCTTCTGTTTTGTTGCTTTAATGTTAACAAAGCTTCCGTTTTGTTGCTTTAATGTTAACAAAGCTTCCGTTTTGTTGCTTTAATGTTAACAAAGCTTCTGTTTTGTTGCGTTGAATCAATTTACCCACTAGAACGTAATGCGTGTGCGGCTTCTGTCAACTTTCATCCGGTAAGTATCCGGGTAGAACCTGCTCACTCTGACGTCAGGTACAGCACGTTCAGGTAGTTTGTGTCTCCCGCACACGCCCCAGCCCCCTCCTGGCACCCCTTCCTAGCACCCCTTCCTAGCACCCCTTCCTAGCACCCCACGCCTGGCACCTTCCCCCCCCCCCCCCCCCACCCCTTTTTTTCCAAAGTCTAGTATTTTGACATGCAATCTTTAGCATGTTCATTTCCCAGCAGTTTTTTTTTCTTCCAATGGAGCCGGCGTATTGAGGTGTTGTTTAGATTGTGGATGTGATTTTATCCAAGCATTAAATGTTCACGTCGGTGGAAACTTGAATAACATACAACAACGCTAGAATTGTTATCTTTGATTGAGGGGGGTGTCGAGGCGCCAAGGGCGGTACGTTGTGTTTGTATGTCCTTCTGCCTTGATTCACTAAGTTTGACAAGATTGTTGTCAAAAACAAGAGGTGTATGCTGTAGTGATTAAGACCGGATTATAAACCTCATAATTTCCAGTTAGAATCGAACTGTTGCTCCCGTTTTTCTTGGAAATATTGTTTAGTTGTCTGAGAGGTGTCAGCTCTATTTAGTACTCAGCTTACAAGGTTGTGTTGGCCTAGGGCGCATTTAAGTTGTGTTGGCTCAGGGCATTCAAAAAATGTTACCTGCGTCACGCGCTAAAGATGTGTGGGCTACCATCTCACCCAGCCCATGTCACCCAGCCCATGTCACCTAGCCCATGTCACCCAGCCCATGTGTCACCTAGCCCATGTCACCCAGCCCATGTCACCCAGCCCATGTGTCACCCAGCCCATGTCACCCAGCCCATGTGTCACCCAGCCCATTCACCCAGCCCATGTCACCCAGCCCATGTGTCACCTAGCCCATGTCACCCAGCCCATGTCACCCAGCCCATGTGTCACCCAGCCCATGTCACCCAGCCCATGTGTCACCCAGCCCATGTCACCCAGCCCATGTCACCCAGCCCATGTGTCACCCAGCCCATGTGTCACCCAGCCCATGTGTCACCCAGCCCATGTGTCACCCAGCCCATGTCACCCAGCCCATGTGTCACCTAGCCCATGTCACCCAGCCCATGTCACCCAGCCCATGTGTCACCCAGCCCATGTCACCCAGCCCATGTGTCACCCAGCCCATGTGTCACCTAGCCCATGTCACCCAGCCCATGTCACCCAGCCCATGTCACCCAGCCCATGTGTCACCTAGCCCATGTGTCACCTAGCCCATGTCACCCAGCCCATGTCACCCAGCCCATGTCACCTAGCCCATGTGTCACCTAGCCCATGTGTCACCCAGCCCATGTCACCCAGCCCATGTGTCACCCAGCCCATGTCACCCAGCCCATGTCACCTAGCCCATGTGTCACCTAGCCCATGTGTCACCTAGCCCATGTCACCCAGCCCATGTGTCACCCAGCCCATGTCACCCAGCCCATGTGTCACCTAGCCCATGATTCTAAACACTTCTCACTACTTGCCAGTCACCACAAACCCACTAGGAGACGAGCAAACGAACACAAACAAAAGCGCGGGAAACATTGGCGCCAAACTCTAATCTCATCCGGCACGGAACTATGCTTAGAATGACGCGAGTTGCAATAATGCAAGCGTTAAGTTTTTATTGCAGCCCGCTCCACTCACGCGAAATGCAGTTAATATCGTTCATTGTTCTTCATAAATAATATTTTTTGAAAAAAAAAAATCGTTCGATCAATGACAGAACCGCGCATGCGTAATGATTGCAAACGTGGAAAATTATACGGAAATAAATTATTCATTTCCGTTTTCGCTTCTTTTTGTTTTATTTTCGTCATTAACATCAGCGAGTAAATTATAATTTTTATAAAATGTTCTTTCAATGTAAACGGAAATTATGGGATGGGGGCTATAATCTATTTCTTCTTGGAACAATTGATAATCAACTTGATGAAGTCAATTGCCGTCTGCTTGAAAGATGAACGCACGCAAATTGCTTTTATCAGCTTAAATGCAGGCAATACATTATGTAGTTTTTCTTTGCGGTTTTAAACTCTTTCAATGCAAAACTATGAAAACAGAAAACTCTTAAATCGTTGTTGTTTTCTCTTTAACCTTGAGGTTGTGACGTATGTCGCACAAGCATGTAGGTCAAGGACATGAAAGATCAATGTTGATGATTTTTTTAAAATAATTGAATAATAAAGCAAACTTAGAAAAGCACATAGATCTGATATCTAATGGAGATTTGTAGCGCTTTGTGTGAGAAGTTTAAAGAAAAGTAATGTAAATATTGTGAGCACAAAACACAGCAAGTATTCCATAACACAAGGTCCACATGTACATCACAAGGTCTTAAGATGTTGCATTGATTTCAGTTGCAGGCCTATGTGTTGTTTGTGTTTGTGTAAGTGGCTAATTGAGGCATCTCAATTTTCCGTGAATTATATCGTGTCAATATGAGAGGTGTCAGCTACAATAGTTTACGTTAAGGTTAGTTTGAGGTATCAGCTGGTTAAGGACGATCATTAGTGCTGACATGGTAGTTTAGGGTTTAGTTAATGCTAGGTGCCATTTTGGGCGATACAGTAACAAATAATGCCGTTGTTGTTACTTTGTATTGTATTTTTAACCAGGAAGTAAAAGTTTTTAATTAGAGAGTCACGTGTCGCTTATGATTAAAAGTCATTAGGGGCGTCATTTTACACGTTTGAAGCATTGCTGGGCCAGTAAGAGTACATGCACTATTTTAATGTCACGTGATTTACACGCAGGAAGGGGGAAAACCCGCCATTTTGTTGTAGGAAATAAATTGTTTACAAACCTATTAATAGATGTGTTTGTGAGTGTCTGTGTCTGGAAGAGGGGAGGGTGTAAAAATGTGCGACGATTGAAAGTTTGAGCGGTGAAGATTAACGGCCCCTGCCCCAGCCTCGTCCTCCCCCGGCCCAGCTCAGATCAGCTGTAAAGCCGTTCAGCTGATTTATCCATTCTCTCAGATCCTGGCTTCATGCAGGCGTCAAGCAAGCGACAGGGAAACATTTTGTTTTCCCTAACACGATGAGTCCGTGTCTGGTAATAAAACACGGGATAGAACCTTCCAGAAATCACGGAAACATTTATTATTCGGATTTGTTTTTCAAAAAGGGTATAGCTTGGCCCATCCAAAATAGTTTGATCTGAAATATATTCCTGGAGATATTTTGTATCCACATGTTAAACCTTCTAGCCATTTCAAAACATTTTGTAGACATTTTCCCATTTTTCTAGACGTTTCGTAGAGACAGTTAACATTTATTGACATGTATACATACGTTCAGTTTCCAAATTCCAGTCGTATATTCATTCTCGAAGCGTCATATAAACTTGCTGTAGCCTACATGTTTTCTATTATTACCAAAGCTTTCAAAATTTGACAATTACTATTTGTGATTCCTGCTAGTTATGTACATTAAAAACCTCAAGCTTAAATTGTGTGAGGGGGGGGGGGGCAATACTTTCAAATTTCATTTTGTGTGTAGTTGATTTTCTTTTCTTATAACATTTTAATGTAGTTTTGACAATGCTCATTTTAGTTTTGTATTCTTGACGGTTATTTTGTGACGATTTACATCTATATGATTACATGTTTTTATTACTACATGTTTTTTGAAATTGTTATGATAATGCATTTTGTAATTATCATAGCTAACATGTATTTTATAACTAATATATTTTTGAACTACACTAAATTGATCATGACATCGCACGATTTCAACACGTCAGGTGAATGTGCTGATCAGCAAGCTGTGTGTGATGTGTGTGTGATATGTGTGTGCTTTGTTTGGGTGCTTGTCTAAGAGTTATGTGATGTTTGTATCTGTATACAAGCTAGTTTTTTTTTGTCTAGAAGCTATGTGATATTTGTATGTTCTTCTCTACAAGTCATGTGATATTTGTATGTGCTTCTCTGCAAGTCATGTGATATGTGTATGTGCTTCTCTACAAGTCATGTGATATTTGTATGTGATTCTCTACAAGTCATGTGATATTTGTATGTGATTCTCTACAAGTCATGTGATATTTGTATGTGATTCTCTACAAGTCATGTGATATTTGTATGTGATTCTCTACAAGTCATGTGATATGTGTATGTGCTTCTCTGCAAGTCATGTGATATTTTCTTCCAGTCAACATTTCTGTTCGCCCGCCCGGTTGTGACCGTAGGTAGGCTACTGTGTGAGCAACACATTCGTAGTTCAGCCTTATTTTAAATCTGGCTCATGAGCCACACTAGTGGCATGTACTGGATGTGGTTTTAATATTAGACACCCCCCCCCCCCACGTTGATTGTACTGTAGGTTCAGTTTTCTACAGAACACCTGAGCTTATATACGTCACTGTTCCTGTCCACAGCAGGTGTTCATGTTTTTCACTTGTTTGACTCGCCTTTGTTTTAGCCACGCTATTCAAATGGTCAATATGTACCGGCGCATATGATTAAGATATACATCACATTTGATTTGTTTCTTTTTTGTTTCTTTGCAGTTTATCTACCATTTGGGTGGACGCATATTGTGAAAAATGTGACATTATATTGGTTAGTAATGAAATGATGAAAATAAATACAATGGAATGTATAAAATATTTCTTTTTTTTTAAATTTTTACTTTTTTGTTGAAGATCTTAAAAGTTGCCCCATGTTGTGGTAGGCGGTATCAATACTGGATCAGGTTTTTGTCTCACTCTCAAGAGACGTCCGGTTTTGTCCTGAATGTTCAGGACGTCAAGTTTTTGTTTGTGTTTACTACAAGGGGTCGTCCATATATAGCTGACAGGGGATTTCAAAAATTGTTACATTTTCTCTCGTTTCTGGTATCGCATTGTTAATTTAATTAGATGACTTCAATTAATTATAAAAAAACACGAAAATTAAGTAGTAAGCTAGCGACCAATTGAATCAACTGATGTTCTTGTATGTGGTTTGAAAATTGCCAACTGACCACATAAAGGGCATATACTAGATTAATGATTGCACGCTAGTCACTGGGTTTTTTACTTACAAAAAGATAACATGGAATGGAAAGAATAAATATGGTTACCCCTTAAAAAAAAACGTAAATGTCGAGTAACTAACAGATTTTTTTAAAAAAGGCATTTACAATAATTTTAAATAACAAAATTTTAAGTTTATTTCAGTGGTCGGCGTGGTCGTGCCTGTAAAGCTCATGGCTGCTACTGTAAAGTCCCGAGTTCAAACCCCGCGCAGATGAGGCCCAATTGATGGGGACGGCAACCCATCTAGGGGGGAGAAAACTCCAAATCAAATGATAAATAAATGCTGTCAACGAAAAATTACGAATTGAAACAAAAATTTTCCCTAACATCAATAACATCAATCGAAATAACAAATAAAACTTTATGATACATAAAAACATCAAAGTGTTTAATTCAAAATGTGTCAGTTCAAAAAAAAAAACATTTTCCTTTCTGTAAAATATTTCTAACTAACATTGTCTGCAACTAGAAAACACACGACACACCAAATTTATGTGCTTAAAACTTTTCTCACAATACATTTGAATAAAATAATAAACTAAATAACCTGCCATTAATATGTTATAGTAACATATTGAAATAAAAATACTGGAACGCAATAAAATAACATATTTATTGATATGTCATCCATAATTAAAGGAAAATAATGTACACTAGAATAATCAATAATCATGAAAACTATTAAAATTACTCATCAATTTTAAATTAATTAAATTTGAAAAAAAATGGAATAAACTGAGATCTGACCACAACCAAATGTGTCACTGAAGACAAAAGCTGTAGAAAGTTCCACCAGAGTGGAGGAGGAATGCTACCTTAGGGTTTTGGTTTTTTTGTTTGAATAGGAATTTTGTTTCATAGTTCCAAATTTTGAATTTCATAAAATCAAGTATTTCATGACCTTATTAATCTTATAATTTTTACATATCTATATTTGACATGTGGAGGGTTTTAAAAATTCCATATATATATATATATATATATATATATATATATATATATATATATATATATATATATATATATATATATATATATATATATATGGAATTTTTTTTACCCTCCAACAAGTTCAATTTCTGTCTACTACATCACTGAATATAAGATATGCAATAATTTAAAGTAATATCAGCTCAATGTTTATCTCATATATCACTAAAACATAGACATTTAATTTAATATTTTTTGAATACTGGTTTCATGCCATTAGTTTATAATGTAATAGATGCACTCTACCCCACCCCATATATATAAATCACCATAGATCATATTTTATTTTATTGCACATGATTTTGACAACTGATATGTTAAGTAGAAAAAAAAATGAGGTCAAGTATAAACAGATCTAGATATCCTTAACACAGGTTACATATAGTTTGGTTTGTGGGAATAGGATATAGGGAGGACAGGAGGGGGAGGGCAGGTGGGAGAGGACAGGTGGGGGAGGACAGGTGGGGGAGGGCAGGTGAGAGAGGAGAGGTGGGGGAGGACAGGTGGGGGAGGGCAGGTGGGGGAGGACAGGTGGGGGAGGGCAGGTGAGAGAGGACAGGTGGGGGAGGGCAGGTGTGGGAGGGCAGGTGAGAGAGGACAGGTGGGGGAGGGCAGGTGTGGGAGGGCAGGTGAGAGAGGACAGGTGGGGGAGGGCAGGTGGGGGAGGGCAGGTGAGAGAGGACAGGTGGGGGAGGGCAGGTGGGGGAGGACAGGTGGGGGAGGACAGGTGGGGGAGGACAGGTGAGGGAGGACAGGTGGGGGAGAGCAGGTGGGGGAGGACAGGTGGGGGAGGGCAGGTGGTGGAGGACAGGTGGGGGAGGGCAGGTGGGGGAGGGCAGGTGGGGGAGGACAGGTGGGGGAGGGCAGGTGAGGGAGGACAGGTGGGGGAGGGCAGGTGGGGGAGGACAGGTGGGGGAGGGCAGGTGGTGGAGGACAGGTGGGGGAGGACAGGTGGGGGAGGGCAGGTGGGGGAGGACAGGTGGGGGAGGGCAGGTGAGAGAGGACAGGTGGGGGAGGGCAGGTGTGGGAGTACAGGTGAGGGAGGACAGGTGGGGGAGGACAGGTGGGGGAGGGCAGGTGGGGGAGGACAGGTGAGGGAGGACAGGTGGGGGAGAGCAGGTGGGGGAGGACAGGTGGGGGAGGGCAGGTGGTGGAGGACAGGTGGGGGAGGGCAGGTGGGGGAGGACAGGTGGGGGAGGACAGGTGGGGGAGGACAGGTGGGGGAGGGCAGGTGGTGGAGGGCAGGTGGGGGAGGACAGGTGGGGGAGGGCAGGTGGTGGAGGGCAGGTGGGGGAGGACAGGTGGGGGAGGGCAGGTGGGGGAGGACAGGTGGGGGAGGGCAGGTGGTGGAGGGCAGGTGGGGGAGGACAGGTGGGGGAGGGCAGGTGGTGGAGGGCAGGTGGGGGAGGACAGGTGGGGGAGGGCAGGTGGGGGAGGACAGGTGGGGGAGGACAGGTGAGAGAGGACAGGTGAGAGAGGACAGGTGGGGGAGGGCAGGTGGGAGAGGACAGGTGAGAGAGGACAGGTGGGGGAGGGCAGGTGGGGGAGGACAGGTGAGGGAGGACAGGAGAGAGAGGACAGGAGAGAGAGGACAGGTGAGAGAGGACAGGTGGAAGAGGACAGGTGGGGGAGGGCAGGTGGGGGAGGGCAGGTGGGGGAGGACAGGTGAGAGAGGACAGGTGGGGGAGGACAGGTGAGAGAGGACAGGTGGGGGAGGACAGGTGAGGGAGGACAGGTGGAAGAGGACAGGTGGGGGAGGGCAGGTGGTGAGGACAGGTGGGGGAGGGCAGGTGAGAGAGGACAGGTGAGAGAGGACAGGTGGAAGAGGACAGGTGGGGGAGGACAGGTGGAAGAGGACAGGTGGGGGAGGGCAGGTGGGGGAGGACAGGTGGGGGAGGACAGGTGGAAGAGGACAGGTGGGGGAGGGCAGGTGGGGGAGGACAGGTGGGGGAGGACAGGTGGAAGAGGACAGGTGGGGGAGGGCAGGTGGGGGAGGACAGGTGGGGGAGGACAGGTGGGGGAGGGCAGGTGAGAGAGGACAGGTGGGGGAGGGCAGGTGGGGGAGGACAGGTGGGGGAGGACAGGTGGAAGAGGACAGGTGGGGGAGGGCAGGTGGGGGAGGACAGGTGGGGGAGGACAGGTGGGGGAGGGCAGGTGAGAGAGGACAGGTGGGGGAGGACAGGTGAGAGAGGGCAGGTGGGGGAGGACAGGTGGGGGAGGACAGGTGGGGGAGGACAGGTGGGGGAGGGCAGGTGGAAGAGGACAGGTGGGGGAGGGCAGGTGGAAGAGGACAGGTGGGGGAGGACAGGTGGGGGAGGGCAGGTGGAAGAGGACAGGTGGGGGAGGACAGGTGAGGGAGGACAGAGAAGTCCATTTCAAGAATGTATCACATTTTATGCAATCAAAAGGAAAATAAAAAAAAAAAAGTAAAAATATTTCAACACAACATTAAAAAATCTTAACTTCTTGATTATTAAAGGACAGAAGCTATTGATAAACTGTACATACAAAATAAAATAAAGTCTGAAACATATAACAGTGTCCGCTGTACAGGTATCTGAAAACAACAAATTTATGTGTGTGAATATGTGAGATGTTACCACAGTAAACCTCACACACCCACACACACCCACACACACCCACACACCCCCACACAAGTACGGCAAGAAGTTTTGGTATAATTGCACCCTAGGCTTTTACAGGAAAATTATGAAAATTTTATTTTTTTATAAAACAAATTTTTTTTTAACAACAAAAATAAAAATATTTCAATAAAAATTTATTTTATTCACATAATTTGGAATGAAAATATTCCCATGATATGGAACAATTTGATACCCCAGATACTTGGTATGTTAGTTTACCACCCACTGCATTAGAAATCACTCTAAAGACATATACAGGCCAATAAGACAATGGGGAGCATTGTTTTAGGCTCAAGGATTTCAATTTACCATCCATTGTAACTTGCATTGTTGTCAATGGGCAGCAAATGGAATAATTCTGTACCGTATTTAACTCTAGCAGAAAAATTAAAAATGGAATAACTTTGTCCAATGTAAACTTAAATGGGGGGGGGGGGGGGAACTAGGCAGCAATATGAACACCTAGTATCCAGAAAGCTAGACAGCAATATGAACAGCTGGTATCCAGAAAGCTAGACAGCAATATGAACACCTAGTATCCAGAAAGCTAGACAGCAAAATGAACGCCTAGTATCCAGAAAGCTAGACAGCAATATGAACGCCTAGTATCCAGAAAGCTAGACAGCAAAATGAACGCCTAGTATCCAGAAAGCTAGACAGCAAAATGAAAACCTAGTATCCAGAAAGCTAGACAGCAAAATGAACGCCTAGTATCCAGAAAGCTAGACAGCAAAATGAATGCCTAGTATCCAGAAAGCTAGACAGCAAAATGAACACCTAGTATCCAGAAAGCTAGACAGCAATATGAACACCTAGTATCCAGAAAGCTAGACAGCAATATGAATGCCTAGTATCCAGAGATGATGTGGAATGTTGCAGTCAAATAGAAAGAAGAAAAACAAAAACACAGCCAGCACCAGAATAAACACCCACTTGAAAAATTTGCATAATAAAATATAATATGCAAGAAATAAGGGAGATAAACATCTTGAATAGATGACAACATAATAACTGACAGAGAAAAATAGAATCATCATCCTCTTTAGGGTGAAGTTGAAGTATCAGGTCTCTCAAGGGGGAACAGAAAACAGTAAGGCACAAAAAGATCTGGGGGGGAAGGGGGGGGGGCATACGGTGTCTGTTATAACTTGTCAAATGTCTGTTTTTAGAATCATCATTCCAAATGTCTGTTTTAAAATCATTACACAAATATTATATAATGAAATATTTGTCTAGTAGGCTACTAGACTTTTACAACAAAATACAACAAAATAACAACAAAGAAAAGCTGGACAATATCAAATAAAAATTTAGCACAAAATAAAATAATATCATAAAACTGTTGTTTTTTAAAAATAGAATTTCCTGAAGACAAAAAGTAAAAATTTTGATATTAAATGCAAGCTGGTATTAAAACTTAAGAACAGATTACAAATGTGTAAGGCTCTGGATAATGTGTTGATGGTCAAAAAATGTTGTCCTTATGTCAGGCATGCTACCAGCTCATGACTAATGTCAGGGAAACAACCAACAGTGAGAGGTTACTCATGTGATGGGCCATGGGATAGATGAAGTAGAGTTCATCTGTTTCTCTGACTACAATATAGGAAAGAATATTGTAGCCAGCACTAAGCCCATTTTTACTCTTCACACCATGTGTCAGGTACTCATAAGTGCTGGGTAGACTCAGTGACGTTCTACTGCTCAAAAACCAAAACAGGAAACTTTCAGCAATCTTCAGGACATGAACTTCACGTAATACGTGTCAGTGGAAAATATTCAATCTAATTATCACAGTAATAGGATCCCTAGGGCAGGTGAAGTAGAGTTCCCCTGCTTCTGTGACCACAGTATATTATTACATATATAGTAATTTAGCAATTGAAAAAATGAAAGTTACTTGTATTTTAATTAAGGTAAATTTTGTTAGGACACTGATTTAGCAAAGATCTTCATGCTTTGAAAGGCAGGCATAGATAACCCAGGCCAATCATCTGACAAGCCAGATGGCCTACCATAGCAAAATTTAAAAAAATGGCCAACCAGAGCAACCTAGGCCAGCTGTGGCCCCTGACACAAGAGTCCCAAGTTGGCCTCCAGCTGCTGGTAGCTGCAGCCCTTCAGGTGGGCGGTGCAGAAAGTGAAGAGGAAGGGGAGATCAGCAGGTGCATGCTGGCTGGCCCTCTGGTGCCATGGGGAGAACCTGACAGCACCCAGGCTGTTTGACACGCTTTGGCCACAGAAAAAACAGCTGGACACACTGGCCAGTTGGTCTGGGGACAGACAGAGAAATGTCAATCAAATTACCAGGTCAACTTTACTACCCAATCAAATTGACAGGTAAACTTTACTACCCAATCAAATTACCAGGTAAACTTTACTACCCAATCAATTTGACAGGTAAACTTTACTACCCAATCAAATTGACAGGTAAACTTTACTACACAATCAAATTACCAGGTAAACTTTACTACACAATCAAATTGACAGGTAAACTTTACTACACAATCAAATTGACAGGTAAACTTTACTACACAATCAAATTGACAGGTAAACTTTACTACACAATCAAATTGACAGGTAAACTTTACTACACAATCAAATTGACAGGTCAACTTTACTACACAATCAACATTGACAGGTAAACTTTACTACACAATCAAATTAACAGGTCAACTTTACTACACAATCAACATTGACAGGTAAACTTTACTACACAATCAAATTGACAGGTATACTTTATCAAACAATCAAATTGACAGGTAAACTTTATCAAACAATCAAATTGACAGGTAAACTTTATTACACAATCAAATTGACAGGTAAACTTTATTACACAATCAAATTGACAGGTAAACTTTATTACACAATGGAATTGACAGGTAAACTTTACTAAACAAAACCAACTACATATTACTGGTTTCAACATAAAATACTAATGTGGTTTTTTTTAAAGCATTTTACTTAGTTTACAATGACAATGGGTTTGTGGTCAATTTTGACCCATTTCTAATACCTAGAATATCATTTCCAAGATAAATTCCATTCAGTTTACATCTCATTTTCATTCTAATTTGATCTAATTTAACGATTATTCAATAATCAGACCGAGACATGACTGCCATATGACCAGACACCTACCTTGTACAGGGAGGGGGAGGAGGTTGACCTTGAGGTTTCCTCTATTGATGGCCTCTCTAGCCAGTGCCCAGAGAGAAGGGAAGGGGGTGGTGCTGGTGAAGAAGACAGGGTCCAGCACTGACCACTGACGGGGCAGGTCACATCTCCTCATCAGGGGGTTGCCAGACACTGGTAGCAGGGTAACAAGGTCAGGCAGACGGTTTGTGTACAGGGTTGTGTCAGTCTTTGTGTCAGTGTCAACAGATGTGTCAGTCTTTGGGTCAGTGTCAATACATGTGTCAGTGTCAATAGATGTGTCAGTCTTTGTGTCAGTGTCAATGGATGTGCCAGTCTTTGTGTCAGTGTCAATAGATGTGTCAGTCTTTGTGTCTGTGTCAATAGATGTGTCAGTCTTTGTGTCAGTGTCAATAGATGTGTCAGTCTTTGTGCCACTGTCAATAGATGTGTCAGTCTTTGTGTCAGTGTCAATAGATGTGTCAGTCTTTGTGCCACTGTCAATAGATGTGTTAGTCTTTGTGTCCGTGTCAATAGATGTGTCAGTCTTTGTGTCCGTGTCAATAGATGTGTCCAAGGATGTAATAAGAGGGCTACATTTAGATAACAATGTAATTTAGAGCAAATATTGTATTTGATATTTACAAATAAAATAAAGATATTTTATTTTTTAAGAAATAACTTCGGACACTTTGAAAACACTTAATATAGAGTTCAAGAAGGTTTAAACAATGAAAAACTACATTTATTTACCTTTAATTAGATACCTATTTTATTTATCAAATTGTTTCGATAGCCTAGAAAATGATTTGTGAAAAAATTTGCTTGTTTTTAAATGGCTAGAGGATGATATGACTGATACTCAGTGATACGGTGGGTTAGATTTTAAGGAGTGTTGTGACGTGATTGACCGTTCACTGACATTCAGCAGAAATGTGTCGTCTGCTAGATTGCTCCCCTTTTAAATACACGGCAGGGCAAAATGGGCGGGCTTAGTTAGCTTTTGTCTCGATGAAGTTATTTTTATAGGTTTTGCTATTACCCTGCATGATTTTTTAAAATTAATGACATTAGTTTAGTAGAAAGCAAGTTATAATTTTCTATAGCTTAGAATCTATTTTTAGTTTTAGAACAATATCAAATAAAGCAATTGTCATTTTGCTTACTTTTATTATGTTCTGCTTGATATTCTCAGCGATTAGACAAAAAAAATGCACAAATGGCAAGTTCGCATCAAACACTAATTGTCCATTGTTAAAACTAGACCAGTATTGTTGAATAATATGTAAACATAACCATTTTAAGCATATATTTCTGAAATGAAACATTGTTAAAAAAATGGAATCATTGTATTGTTGTTTTTGGCAGCCATCATTACCATGATGACGGTTTAAAAAAGTAGGTCAACTGATGACTACTTAATATGTGTAACTTATAGAGATAAATTGTGGTTGAATATGTACAATATAGATTCACATTCATTACAAAATGTGATGGGAATAACTATTTTAACGACATGATTTGCAATGCCAAATTAAGCAATTCTATTCTAGCACTTGCAAAACTGAGAACACTTCCTTCAGCTGAATGGAGATTTAAAATACAAGAACAAAATCTTTGCTGAATTTAAAGTGAAGCCACTCATTACTGTACTGGTGTCTAAAAGACAACAGCACAAGACTCACTGATTTGCAGTCAATATTTATTTAGTCTTTGGGTGAAAATCATACTCCAATGGTTTTGTTTTTTGAACACATTGATGCTGATCCACATTATTTAGTGCACCAGTAAAGTATTTACCATGTTTTGATTATGAATCATATCACATTTTACTTCTCCTACATAGAAGGGTTCATTGGATAAGCATTTAAGGCTGGTGGGAATATGTACATACAAAAATGAAATGAACCACTTTGTAACACAGTGATCATCTTTTCTAAATTATTAGTCAGAGAAAAGTTTCCTTACAACAACCTCCTTTAAAAAGATAACATCAATGAAATTATGAGTGAGCTTTCAGCCCTCAGCAAAATATGAATGTAAGACAGCTCAAAGTTTTCTATTGTAAACTTGAGTCAAAAGATAATTGTCAAATCCAAACAGGGTAAGGTATACTATCTATCATATAAGTTTAAATATTCATGTCTGATAATACAATAAATTATTATCATTTCATAACCATTGAGTTTCTTTGTCTTTAGCACAATTTTTTATGAATTAAGATTTAGTTTACCTCCCTTATTATTATTTTTTATTTATAGGGTTATTTCCCTTATATGGAACGTGAATCAATATAAATTAATATTCAACATTTAACATATTACAATTTTTTATATTTTTGTGGACATGCCCTAAATACAAATTAAAACTTAGGTCTGCATAAGAATAAAAAGAAAAAAACTATAGTAAAATTAAATAGTAGTAACAGATGGATGCGGTTATAAAACTACATGTGTAGTTACAATAGCAACAGATGGATGTTGTTCTAAAACTACATGAATAGTTACCATAGCAACAGATGGATGTTGTTATAAAACTACATGTGTAGTTGCCATAGCAACAGATGTGTAGTTACCATTTAACAGGAGTGTGTGTTGCCGAAACAGCAGGGTGGCAGGGAGGTAACTCAGCCTGTTGTTGCTGACATCAAGACGCTCTAGTCTGTAGCACTGAGAGATCTCACAAGGCAGGCGGAGTAGCCTGGCAACACAATCAGAGATGTAGCAACACAATCAGAGATGTAGCAACACAATCAGAGATGATGCAACACAGTGTAATCAGAGATGTAGCAACACAATCAGAGATGTAGCAACACAATCAGAGATGTAGCAACACAGTGTAATCAGAGATGTAGCAACACTGTGTAATCAGAGATGTAGCAACACTGTGTAATCAGAGATGTAGCAACACAGTGTAATCAGAGATGTAGCAACACAGTGTAATCAGAGATGTAGCAACACAATCAGAGATGTAGCAACACAATCAGAGATGTAGCAACACAGTGTAATCAGAGATGTAGCAACAAAGTGTAATCAGAGATGTAGCAACACAGTGTAATCAGAGATGTAGCAACACAGTGTAATCAGAGATGTAGCAACACAGTGTAATCAGAGATGTAGCAACTCAATAAGAGATGTAGCAACACTGTGTAATCAGAGATGTAGCAACACAGTGTAATCAGAGATGTAGCAACACAATCAGAGATGTAGCAACACAGTGTAATCAGAGATGTAGCAACACAGTGTAATCAGAGATGTAGCAACACAATCAGAGATGTAGCAACACAGTGTAATCAGAGATGTAGCAACACAATCAGAGATGTAGCAACACTGTGTAATCAGAGATGTAGCAACAAAGTGTAATCAGAGATGTAGCAACACAATCAGAGATGTAGCAACACAGTGTAATCAGAGATGTAGCAACACAATCAGAGATGTAGCAACACAGTGTAATCAGAGATGTAGCAACACAGTGTAATCAGAGATGTAGCAACACAGTGTAATCAGAGATGTAGCAACACAGTGTAATCAGAGATGTAGCAACACAGTGTAATCAGAGATGTAGCAACACAATCAGAGATGTAGCAACTCAGTGTAATCAGAGATGTAGCAACACAATCAGAGATGATGCAACACAGTGTAATCAGAGATGTAGCAACACAGTGTAATCAGAGATGTAGCAACACAGTGTAATCAGAGATGTAGCAACACAATCAGAGATGTAGCAACACAGTGTAATCAGAGATGTAGCAACACAATCAGAGATGTAGCAACACAGTGTAATCAGAGATGTAGCAACAAAGTGTAATCAGAGATGTAGCAACACAATCAGAGATGTAGCAACACAGTGTAATCAGAGATGTAGCAACACAGTGTAATCAGAGATGTAGCAACACAGTGTAATCAGAGATGTAGCAACACAGTGTAATCAGAGATGTAGCAACACAATCAGAGATGTAGCAACACAGTGTAATCAGAGATGTAGCAACACAGTGTAATCAGAGATGTAGCAACACAGTGTAATCAGAGATGTAGCAACACAATCAGAGATGTAGCAACACAATCAGAGATGTAGCAACACAGTGTAATCAGAGATGTAGCAACACAGTGTAATCAGAGATGTAGCAACACAATCAGAGATGTAGCAACACAGTGTAATCAGAGATGTAGCAACACAGTGTAATCAGAGATGTAGCAACACAGTGTAATCAGAGATGTAGCAACACAGTGTAATCAGAGATGTAGCAACAAAGTGTAATCAGAGATGTAGCAACACAATCAGAGATGTAGCAACACAGTGTAATCAGAGATGTAGCAACACAGTGTAATCAGAGATGTAGCAACACAGTGTAATCAGAGATGTAGCAACACAGTGTAATCAGAGATGTAGCAACACAATCAGAGATGTAGCAACACAGTGTAATCAGAGATGTAGCAACACAGTGTAATCAGAGATGTAGCAACACAGTGTAATCAGAGATGTAGCAACACAATCAGAGATGTAGCAACACAATCAGAGATGTAGCAACACAGTGTAATCAGAGATGTAGCAACACAGTGTAATCAGAGATGTAGCAACACAATCAGAGATGTAGCAACACAGTGTAATCAGAGATGTAGCAACACAATCAGAGATGATGCAACACAGTGTAATCAGAGATGTAGCAACACAGTGTAATCAGAGATGTAGCAACACAGTGTAATCAGAGATGTAGCAACACAATCAGAGATGTAGCAACACAGTGTAATCAGAGATGTAGCAACACAATCAGAGATGTAGCAACACTGTGTAATCAGAGATGTAGCAACAAAGTGTAATCAGAGATGTAGCAACACAATCAGAGATGTAGCAACACAGTGTAATCAGAGATGTAGCAACACAGTGTAATCAGAGATGTAGCAACACAGTGTAATCAGAGATGTAGCAACACAGTGTAATCAGAGATGTAGCAACACAATCAGATATGTAGCAACACAGTGTAATCAGAGATGTAGCAACACAGTGTAATCAGAGATGTAGCAACACAGTGTAATCAGAGATGTAGCAACACAATCAGAGATGTAGCAACACAATCAGAGATGTAGCAACACAGTGTAATCAGAGATGTAGCAACACAGTGTAATCAGAGATGTAGCAACACAATCAGAGATGTAGCAACACAGTGTAATCAGAGATGTAGCAACACAGTGTAATCAGAGATGTAGCAACACAGTGTAATCAGAGATGTAGCAACACAGTGTAATCAGAGATGTAGCAACAAAGTGTAATCAGAGATGTAGCAACACAATCAGAGATGTAGCAACACAGTGTAATCAGAGATGTAGCAACACAGTGTAATCAGAGATGTAGCAACACAGTGTAATCAGAGATGTAGCAACACAGTGTAATCAGAGATGTAGCAACACAATCAGAGATGTAGCAACACAATCAGAGATGTAGCAACACAGTGTAATCAGAGATGTAGCAACACAGTGTAATCAGAGATGTAGCAACACAATCAGAGATGTAGCAACACAATCAGAGATGTAGCAACACAGTGTAATCAGAGATGTAGCAACACAATCAGAGATGTAGCAACACAATCAGAGATGTAGCAACACAGTGTAATCAGAGATGTAGCAACACAGTGTAATCAGAGATGTAGCAACACAATCAGAGATGTAGCAACACAATCAGAGATGTAGCAACACAGTGTAATCAGAGATGTAGCAACACAGTGTAATCAGAGATGTAGCAACAAAGTGTAATCAGAGATGTAGCAACACAGTGTAATCAGAGATGTAGCAACACAATCAGAGATGTAGCAACACAGTGTAATCAGAGATGTAGCAACACAGTGTAATCAGAGATGTATCAACTCAGTGTAATCAGAGATGTAGCAACACAATCAGAGATGTAGCAACACAATCAGAGATGTAGCAACACAGTGTAATCAGAGATGTAGCAACACAGTGTAATCAGAGATGTAGCAACACAGTGTAATCAGAGATGTAGCAACACAGTGTAATCAGAGATGTAGCAACAAAGTGTAATCAGAGATGTAGCAACACAGTGTAATCAGAGATGTAGCAACACAGTGTAATCAGAGATGTAGCAACACAGTGTAATCAGAGATGTAGCAACAAAGTGTAATCAGAGATGTAGCAACACAATCAGAGATGTAGCAACACAGTGTAATCAGAGATGTAGCAACACAGTGTAATCAGAGATGTAGCAACACAATCAGAGATGTAGCAACACAGTGTAATCAGAGATGTAGCAACACAATCAGAGATGATGCAACACAGTGTAATCAGAGATGTAGCAACACAGTGTAATCAGAGATGTAGCAACACAGTGTAATCAGAGATGTAGCAACACAATCAGAGATGTAGCAACACAGTGTAATCAGAGATGTAGCAACACAATCAGAGATGTAGCAACACTGTGTAATCAGAGATGTAGCAACAAAGTGTAATCAGAGATGTAGCAACACAATCAGAGATGTAGCAACACAGTGTAATCAGAGATGTAGCAACACAGTGTAATCAGAGATGTAGCAACACAGTGTAATCAGAGATGTAGCAACACAGTGTAATCAGAGATGTAGCAACACAATCAGATATGTAGCAACACAGTGTAATCAGAGATGTAGCAACACAGTGTAATCAGAGATGTAGCAACACAGTGTAATCAGAGATGTAGCAACACAATCAGAGATGTAGCAACACAATCAGAGATGTAGCAACACAGTGTAATCAGAGATGTAGCAACACAGTGTAATCAGAGATGTAGCAACACAATCAGAGATGTAGCAACACAGTGTAATCAGAGATGTAGCAACACAGTGTAATCAGAGATGTAGCAACACAGTGTAATCAGAGATGTAGCAACACAGTGTAATCAGAGATGTAGCAACAAAGTGTAATCAGAGATGTAGCAACACAATCAGAGATGTAGCAACACAGTGTAATCAGAGATGTAGCAACACAGTGTAATCAGAGATGTAGCAACACAGTGTAATCAGAGATGTAGCAACACAGTGTAATCAGAGATGTAGCAACACAATCAGAGATGTAGCAACACAATCAGAGATGTAGCAACACAGTGTAATCAGAGATGTAGCAACACAGTGTAATCAGAGATGTAGCAACACAATCAGAGATGTAGCAACACAATCAGAGATGTAGCAACACAGTGTAATCAGAGATGTAGCAACACAATCAGAGATGTAGCAACACAATCAGAGATGTAGCAACACAGTGTAATCAGAGATGTAGCAACACAGTGTAATCAGAGATGTAGCAACACAATCAGAGATGTAGCAACACAATCAGAGATGTAGCAACACAGTGTAATCAGAGATGTAGCAACACAGTGTAATCAGAGATGTAGCAACAAAGTGTAATCAGAGATGTAGCAACACAGTGTAATCAGAGATGTAGCAACACAATCAGAGATGTAGCAACACAGTGTAATCAGAGATGTAGCAACACAGTGTAATCAGAGATGTATCAACACAGTGTAATCAGAGATGTAGCAACACAATCAGAGATGTAGCAACACAATCAGAGATGTAGCAACACAGTGTAATCAGAGATGTAGCAACACAGTGTAATCAGAGATGTAGCAACACAGTGTAATCAGAGATGTAGCAACACAGTGTAATCAGAGATGTAGCAACAAAGTGTAATCAGAGATGTAGCAACACAGTGTAATCA